AAAAGACAATATCAAATTTAATAACCTTCAAAGGCTTCATGATTGAAATGAATATTTTTTGCTCATCATCATCTTATAGTCATTTTTCATGCAAGTTGAACTTTTTTTACGATTTTAATTCATTTTAATTTTCATCTTTGGTGTACCTTTATAAGAAGGACTTGAAATGTATTGATAAATTGGCACATTTTTAGAATAATGTTTTCTGATATTTTAGACATGTTTTATGGAAACTCCTATATATTAAACAATACAACTTCAAGACCACTTGATTACTTACTAAAATTAATCAATTACAATATTTATGAATAGAAATTCATATCTATGGATCAAAATCAATACCGAAAATATATATGGAGGGAAAATAGTTATACTCGGAGGTGACTTTTGGTAGATCTTTCCAGTTTTACCCATAGCTTCCAGAGAGAAAATTGTAGGTGCTACTATCAATTTCTCACATTTGTGGTCATGTTGTAAAGTTTTTACATTGTCCAAGAATATGGGATGGAAAGCTAGGTCAGGTGATTGATGGAGTTAGTGATGTCGATATTCCGCCTGAATTCTTAATTCCTGACACAAGTTCACCTATCAAAAGTATAGTAGACTTCACTTATTCGAATATGTTAGAGAATATGAAAAATTATTTTTTTGAGGATAGAGCACTATTGGCACAAACTCTTGAAGTAGTTGAAATGATAAATGAATTTGTCCTATCTCTTATTCCTGGTGATGAAAAGGAGTACTTGAGTTCTGATTCTTCTTGCCAATCAAATGCAGGTGTAGGTGTTGATGCGATTGGATAAGAGTGAAGTTTTTGAATGAAATCAAATGTTCGCGAATCCCCAACCACAAAATAGTTTTAAAAAAAAGGGTGTCGATTATGCTTTTGAGGAAGATTGACCAGACATCTGGATTGTGTAATGGAACCAGACTAATCGTTCAAGAGCTGCGAAACAATGTTATCGGTGCAATTGTGGTGTCGGAAAATCGAGTCAGGGAAAAGGTTTACATTCCAAGAATGAATTTGGTACCATCTGATCCATGACTACCCATGAAGTTCTAAAGGAAACAATTTCCAATCGTTTTATGTTTTGCTATGACTATCAACAAAAGTCAAGGTCAAACATTGTCATATGTAAGATTATTTTACTGTTTCGCGAGTAAAGACAGAGATGAGATTAAAAATATTAGTTCTAGATGACAATGGAAACCATTACAACCATACCAAGAATGTTGTATACCCTGAAGTCTTTCAAAAAAATTGGTATTAAAATAAATATTGTTCAGTCTATGTTCAATTGCTCGAATATTATTAAGTCTACTTTGGCATTTTACACCTATTGTTATAAAAAATTGTGTGAGAAGTATATTTTCTTTATTCCAAAACATAAATTTCAGAACAAATTTTAGAATCGACAAAAATTGTGTATTACCCCGTGCATCGCACGGGTAGAAATACTAGTATCAACAAATAGCCAACTAACACCACATACACAAACACCCTGAGCTCATAATACTCTCCCATCCCCGTAAATCTTCTCATTATGCATTAAGAGATTTGATTGACTTTATTTTTAATTTAATTGATTGTAGATGTAAAATTTAGAAATAAATTTATATAGTAAAAAAATTACATGAAAACTTCTACTCCCTTGTTCCAAAAAAAAATGTCACAGTTTACTATTCAAAAATCACGAGAATAATTATTTATTTGTATATTTTCATCGATTATTTGATAAAATAAAATATTCTTGTCGCATCTTATTTTAAAAAAATTTAGACGTAGTTTTTAAATACGTGATTTTTTTAATTCTATTCTATTTTCAAATAAAATGAATTAAAAAACTAAAAATTTCAATTCATTTTATTTTACTTAGGGTCTGTTCTTTAGGACTTGAACTCTTAACTTACAGTTTCTTCCAGTTCCTTCCAGTTTCTTCCAGTTTTTTCCAGCTTTTTCCAGCTTCTTCCAGTTCCTCCAGTTCCTTCCAGTTTCTTCTAGTTCCTTCCAGTTTCTTCCGGTTTCTTCCAGTTACTTCCAGTTTCTTCCAGTTCATTCCAGTTTCTTCCAACTTTTCTCATTTTCTTCAAATTCTTTCTATTCCTCAACCAATTACTCTAAAAATGATATATTTTAATGTGGTTATTATTATTATTATCATTATTATTACAACTGTTATATTCATAACTATAGTTTATAAATTATTTTTTTCATCTCACTATTTTTGCGATTCACACTTATTATTTTTTTCTGCTTTTTAATATGAATAAGACATTTTTTTTGTATATTAGTCTACATGATAAAACAGGAAAACATCAATATGTTAAATTATACTAAAAAAATTATGGATAAAATAGTTACATTAAATGTTTTATTAATATAACTTTTTATAAGACATATCAATTTTTTTCTTTATTACTTAAAAATTGCTCATTTTTCTAATTTTTATAAAAAAAAATTATAAGTTAAAAGAGCTTAGAGAAAAAGACTAAAATATGAGTAAAACATAAAAAATGTAAACAAAAAAGTTCTATGTCTTTATCCCAAAAATAGGAATTCAATGAAAATAAAATGTCAATCATTAAAGAAATAATAGATTTGATTATGTGACATGTATGATACTTAAAACAAAATGTTTTAATATATAAATTATAATTACAAATATATTATTTATAATAAATACTGTATAAATAAATTGAGGTGCAATATAACTACAAAGACTTCTTAAAATTTAATATTTTTATATTTATGCTAATTTTATATTATAATTATTTTTTTGCAAAAGTAGTTTTTTGTATTTAAAAAATAACAATACTTTTTTTATATCTTAAAGACATTGACTAAGATAAGGTGATGATGATTATGATGATGATGATGATGGTAATGGTAATGATGATGATGATGATGATGATGATGATAATAATAATAATAATAATAATAATACTAATTTATAACAACAAGAATTTAAAATAAATATTTTTAAATATTTTTAGGTTTTTAAATTTTTTGAAGTTTTCTAGTTTCTTCCCGTTCCTTCCAGTTTTTTCCAGTTTCTTCCAGTTTCTTCCAGTTTTTTCTAGTTCCTTCCAGTTTTTTCCAGTTCCTTCCAGTTTCTTCCAGTTTCTTCCAGTTCTTCCAGTTCCTTCCAGTTTCTTCCAGTTTTTTCAGTTTCTTCAAGTTCCTTCTAGTTTTTTCCAGTTTCTTCCAACATCCAGCTCGTTTTTTACCGTCCTAAAGAACAAGCCTTTAATGTGACAGATATTTTAGGATGAAAATAATGTAAAACTAAATACTACGTATAACAAGACACCATTAGTTTGACTAGTTATAAGGAAGTAATATACGGAGTATTTGGGAGAGTTTCACTCACCCCACTCCGGAGCAAAACACCTCCCCCTCCGCGCTGCTGCAGGTGCCAACTTCATGTATGTAGCTCATGCAATTTGAGCAGCGTTCACATTTTCCATCGATTGATACTGTTTCACTTCGAAATTGCATTCAAACCTTCTTGTTATCAGTCACTCTGTAAATATCACTGGACCGAAGTCCCTGTTTCAATCCGTAAACCCTAGCCTCTAATCTGATCCCCAGTTGGGCGGTATTTCTTCAGCTTTGACGAACCTAGGGCTTCTTCAACATGAGTCCCGTTCAGAACTTCGAGCAGCACGCCCGCAATCTCATCGAACCAGACTTACGTAAGTTTCTTACTACATAAATTATCGGTGTAGATTATGGTATGCATACATGCGCTTTTTTTGTTGGTTTTTGCTGCTGATTATGATTTTTCAAATGGGTTTCTGGATCAGCAATCCAGACGAGGCTTCAAATGGTGATGGAGGTGCGGGACAGTTTAGAAATAACGCACACAGGGGAGTATCTGAACTTTCTCAAATGCTATTTTGGTTCGTTTTCTGTGATTATGTATCACATGACAAAGCCACAGTCAATGGATAATCCTGAGCACAAGCTTAGGAACATTGTGGTTGAGATACTGAATCGTTTGCCACACAGTGAAGTGCTCCGGCCTTTCGTCCAGGAGCTGCTGAAGGTGGCTATGCATGTTCTGAAGACAGATAACGAGGAGAATGGTCTAATTTGCATCCGAATAATCTTTGACTTGCTTCGTAACTTTAGGCCTACTTTAGAGACAGAAGTTCAACCCTTTTTGGATTTTGTATGTAAAATCTACCAAAATTTTAGGGCAACAGTTAGTTATTTTTTTGAGAGTG